GGAAGTTAGGCTACGGTTCAGGATCTAATTCAGATTTTAATTATCACAATATCTCTTAAATAGTACAGAAACAAACAGTTAATTTGTGAAAATAGTCAGCATTCTCTTTAAAAATGACCACCTGTCACGGTGGCTTTAGCAGTATAAAATGTAAAATGTTGCACACAACATCTACTGGGTCTGGACAGGCTCTTTTTCTTCCTGGGTTGAAACTGCTAGTCAGAATAGGGACAACAATAGCTGCATTAACGCCACCTTATCATCTGTAGACAAAGCTGGATTAGACCCACAAATGTGCGGGCACAAAAGGAAAACAATTGTTTTGAAACATATGGAACTGCACTGGGTTTTCTGACCACACCAGTTAAGATTTCAAGCACAGTTTTGGTCCAAACATGACTAATTTTCCCTCTAGTACAAAATTACGAATACGAGTGGTGAGAAGTTAACCGTAAACAGTCATAACATAATCACGGAGAATCATTTACGTATGCGCTACTAACATCTAGAGTCAAAATCTAACTCATGTTAAACCCTGAAGGAAATACTGACCACATACTGTGCACCCAGAAATCACTGATCAAAAACAGGTTGTGATGCAATGTCTTCTTCCTTTTCTAAAACACTTGCTCTTTTTGATTGCTTTACACGAGAGAAAAAGTAGAGAAAACGGAAACAAAGAAAAGGAGATCTCTGGCCAGATCCTATCTTAAAAACACAGGATGTTACATGTACACAATGTGTGCCTTCACCATACAAGCCTCCAGGATGTCCAACGCCATTGTGCCTTTCCACCCTCAAGAGCTCAGATTCACACTGCTAAAGGTTTTAAGATTGTTTATTGGTTTGTTTGGCTCACACACCACACTGGAGCCATACTTTGGTCTGAATGTTCAGTAGAAACTGATGGTGCATGACACAGGACTGCAGATAATGATGCATACAGTGTAGGGCAAATGCTGAATTGAAAATTAGACATTGTTCCTCTTTTGTATTAATTTTACATATATACTATATATACACAAACCAGAACACGCTAAATGAACAGGTATTGAATTTGTACTTTTTATTTGTTGACCTGCTGCTTCTTAACCATATGGTACGTAATTAAAAGAATTACCCTGCATTTTAAAACCTGCCAATGTAGTCATAAAGATGCCAGTAAATTTAAATGACTTGCGGCGATGCCCTGAATGTGGTCAGGCAAAAGTGTCATAGGCCACAACTTTGCCTCACAATATATTTCTAAATGATGAGATCAACAACAGGTCTCTTTATAAAGATATGCACTGTAGACTACAATGCAGTTAAGCACTGGTCTAAGCAAAGCACAGAATAGAAGAGGGGACACTTCTTTGACGATAATATACGTCATGAAAAACCTAGACAAGCTGCATCCACAATCCTTGCTCAGACCTTTTGCCATTGCCTTCTTTTGTTTACATCAGCAGTGCATTTTCAGCCACAACACCAGCAAACACTTAAAGCAGTCTCTCTCCCACCCTTTTTGATAACAATCTAGTCCCTCTTACTCCTAACCGTCCTGTTAAACCGTGCAAAATGGGCTTTTGCAGTTTACTAATTTCTACTACAGATGAGTCTCATGTTATCTGACGGCATACAGATCAAAGAAAACTATTCCCATCCAGGACCTTAATGTTTTCAAACTGACAAAGGGGATATCTGACATAAATCATGTTAGTCACCAGTCATGGTAATATAATTTATTTAAGCAGAATTCGCCTTTTATCTAATTTGCGTGGAAGCTTGGACACACCCTTGAATGCCCTCCTCTCCTACAATGTATCAGAAATAAGGCCAATGTAAGATAATTCAAAATTCTGTGTATTTGAGGGAGGATTCATGATTACTACATCTTCTTTATATGCTGAAAATGTAATATTTGACTCCTGTGACGTTAGGGAGGTGTGGATTAGGGCATTGTAATCCTCCAATTAGAAAAAGAAAATGTTTTAAAAGACAGCCAATCGTCCGAGAGTTGTTTTCGTAATAACGATATAATATTACCCTGCAAGCCTGAAATACTTATCTAAATAACTGACGACGTAAACAACCAGGAATAAAAGCACTCAAGTAGGTTTTACATGTAAAAAAAATGACAAAACTAAAGCAGAAACAGTGTCCGTTAGGCTCCGTGTTTAGGCGACCCCATCTCTCCATAAACAGTTGGTCACCGAGCACGTAGGTAACGTTAGCCAGCGTTAATGTCAGACAACTGCAGCTTTAAACAGGCCTAATTAACGTTGGCTATGTTACCTCACACTAGCTAAACCCGTCAAATCCTGTTGGGAAAGTTGGGCTTTACATTTAACGAACTGTATAAAAGAAGTGGCTAAAAGACTAGTTTAAATGTTGTCGGGTTGTTTCCGTGCGCTGACTCCAGGAAGCATTTCATTCTGCGCTAACGTAAACAATTTCTGTTATATTTGCATACAGGCAAAACTTTGGCATTTGAATTATTTTTAGAGATCATACCCCTAAAGCTGACTGATACAATAAACACATGTCTGAGTGTTTGAAGGTTAAAAACTTGTCCAGGACATAGTATTTCCTCCTGAATGGCAATGTCTGAGTGCTTCTCTATGGCTGTTGCAAACACAACACACTCCGGGCTCAGGCTAGCTGACAATTCAACTCGGAGCCGCAATCCGCCATGTTGAAACCTGTCTAAAAACACAACTTTGCCTGCTAAATTAACAACAGCAGCAGAGATACACACACCACACAAAACAAAAGCTCGAAATACTGTAAAAATGAGGAAACACTCACCGGCGGCGGGCGGACCTTACAGATGCCAGTTTTCTCTGCAATGGGTCGTATTTTGTTGATGTACGCAAAAGGGTCGGCGAATTCCTCCCAGCTGGGCTCAAAAACAGGGCACTCCGGAGGAGGAATGAACTCATTCAGCTGAGGTTGACTCATCGTTGCATCTTCGTTATGCCTGTAGCTGGATATATTTGTTTTTTCCTCACGCCGAAATCGCTCGCTGAGGATTTCTGTCTCTCAGTTCATGTCCATTCACCACTCATTGAACTCAAAGACGAATTATCTAGTTGGAGACGAGCGGTTGACAGTCACAGGCCGTACTCCTCCGCCTCAAAAAGTAGACACCCACAAATTATTTAGATTCACAGTTTGTTTTAAACCCAGTCGCAGCGTAGCCGCGTCAGATACAACATGCTCACTTTGAGACTTTATTTCAAACGCAAATACTGAGTGTGTGTAACTAATATTTTACCAAACAGATACAGCTCCAGTGTTGCGTGTTCAAATCTGTTTGAAGGAGTTAAGTGCCCGCAGGACTGTGATAGAGTAGAGTAAAACGTCTTGAACGTCATTTTGGTCTACTTTGATTATCATAGGAAATAAACTACGATGGATTTCGCTCTCACACAGGTAACACTTATGAGAACAATACTCTTTAGTTAGGGATTATGTATATCTTATTGGTTCCGTGGTTTCCTCACAGATGATCGCGTCTCTGTTGGGTGAGTTTGATTTGGGTCACACTTTGCACGCTGGTGCACTGAGCTCACTCGGTTTACAAATGGTAGGATGAGTTTGATTGGCTCTTCCCTACCCCGCCCGGCTGTCCCGAAAGAATAGACGCGTCAGACGGCACGTTGGACTTTCTAATCGAAGACACCCACTAGATCTCTACGCGCTGACCGGCACTTCGTTTTTAAATGGTCTAGTGGAGCTCGTTGATTGGTAGAGACTACAGTCATATGGTGATAGTTGGGCTGTTTATGTTTTCATAATGAACATTTTAATTAAGTCATTTATACTGTACCAACCCCTGAACGCATCTAACACAAAGTATATCATACGATAAAAACACTATATTTTGAAAACTTTTTCTTGTTAAATCATGTTAGATCATGTCAATATGCATGAGGACACTTGCTAAATAATTAACAAACCATTAGAGAAAAACAAAACAAAACCCAAACACATTGAAATATACAATGTATTATACACTATATATATTCAAATCTTTACTACCACATAGAATGCAATTTATTATCTGTTTCTAATCATATCAGCCAAAGTATGAAAGTATGATGGAAAACTAATAGGGGCAACAAAACATGGCCAATAATTATTTATCATTATATCACATTTTTCAGTTACCTGAGATTGACATATCTCTGTTTTTTCTAATGACACTGTCTTGATAATATATTTTTTGTCAATGTTACATTATCAATCACACAATCTTTAGCCACACTATTATTCATTGAGAACAGCTATCCTACAAAATGGTAACTATCTCGTTGATATCATCTCATGCAGAAGTAAATTATTTCCTAATTTTACCACCTCCTAACTGAAAGCTACGTTGTTAAAATTGGTTTGCTGTACAGACTGTAAAGCCCTTTCAGGCAAATTTGTGATTATATACTATAGATTTAGCTGGATTGATGTGACCGAGAGTTACCCGTTTCTCATAGATTTGGCTTGATACAAGTTTATTCTTTCGGATAAACCCCTTGAAATGAATCATCTCGTTTTCAAGGGGGGGTCCTAATATACAGTACAAATAAACATGAAAACACAAGATACAGGAAAACAGATTTCACGTTATCTGTTAAATAAATGCAGCAGTTGCCACAATGGCCTACCACTTGTTTCACACTGTATGAGACTGATTTGAATGTCACTGTTCTCTGTTTCGTTTGAACTTCCCGTTGGTGGATCTAAGACAGCAGACTATAGCGAACACACATGACAGGTGTCTTTCACGCTTGGGAGAAAAATCAGCTGCACACATTTCAAGGTGCTCAAGATTACTTTAACAAAAAAAACACCATTTTCTCCAATTATTCCAAGTGTCTGATCTTGATTATTATGTATAGAGTAATTTGTTGTATTTTTTTCTATCAATATGGGCATGAGAATTAGATCTCACAAATTTAGCATATACACTCTTGTCCTCTTAATATAAAATGATGATCATTTGTACAATGGCTGTAATTCCACATTTATATAGTAGTCTGAATTTAATACTCTACATCCATGATTGTTTTCATTCTTGAAAACACATAAAACACAAAGGGAAGCACACACAGCTCCACCACTAACGCTCATGGTGTATTCTGCTGACTAGCACCACTGACACTGATTCGGTGGGGGTTCAGTTTACTGGGTGGAGGCACAGCCTTTGACTGACATGTGCACAGACCACACAAAATAACAACAAACTACATCATATTGCAAATTCACCATAAAATGAATATGTATGAAGGTTGAAAAGGGTTAAGGTCACTCAAATGACCCCCCTCCTCCCTTTATTACTGCAGTGGTCTGTTAACACTACTGTTGCTGACACATTTCAATGTTTACAGGTTAACTGTCAGTGAGTACAAATTTGGTAAATAAACTTATCCAGCTAACATCCCCCCCTGGATTACCTAGCAGGCATGTATTGCACACAGCCAAGGATTTAAGACTACCAAGAGCCCCAACAGCCCTCATTGCACTGGCATTAATTTTCCTGCTCATCTGAATAGCAAACTATTCTTGGCTTGTTCACTGAGCAATTTGTAACAGCATTCGCACTTGCCTCATTGGGTACTTCAGAATTGTGAAACCATGCATAAGCTTTAATAACAATTTTATAACTGACAATGTTTACAGGGTAAATTCCTCTTGTAGCCCTTTCATTAAAAAGAAATTAAGTAAGCTGAATGTCAGGCAATGACACTCATTGTAAATTACAACATGGGATCCGGTCCCTGTATTTTTGGGTCAAACACACACAAACAAGGACTTGATACTTTTGTGACAATGAGTGACAAATGATTATTTCCAGACTTGAATAATCTATAAAATAATTTAAGTAATCAATTAACTTATAAAATGTAAAAGAAAAAGTGAAATCATTGTCATGCATGAGCCATCTTCAAATTATTTGTTGTGTTAGACAACAATTTACAATGATATGAAATAACGAAAAAGCAACAAACCATCATTATTTGAGAGGCTGGAACTAATAAAAGTGTTTGCTTTATAATCAACTTAAAGGATGAATCAGTTATCAAAAGTTTGACTAATTTACTGCGTATTGACTAAATGTTTCAGCACTCAACATACATCATCGTACACTATGGAGCTCTAACTCTTGTAGAGAAATTGTACACATAATATATACAGGTCCATCATAAAAGTCTGAATGGGAGTGATTTTTTTGTGGGTTAAAAGACATTGAGATGAAGAGAACTAGCATCACATTACTCAAGAAACAGCTGCAGGATGGCATCTGACTACGTCCCAAAAAACAATTTTATTAGAACAAAATGGTCAGTGTGATCCAGGTGATTGATAGAGACATAGCACTGTTATCATGAATAAGTCTGTACACATCAACAACCTGATCTGTATGTACTGTGTGTGTGTGTGTGTGTGTGATGTGTGTGTGTGTGTGTGTATGTGTGATATATTAGGTAGGCTGGGGGTCAACTCTGGAGTAAATCCATGAAAAGATGCATAGCCTGCCAACGCATTTTTTAAAGTTCTTGTGGGCCCTCATATGAAGTTACACTATGCATGATTCACCCTCTCCACAGCGACGTAGAAACTTTTCTTGTCATCCAAACAGTGCCAGCCGATTGGTCCAATCTCGCAATCCGCACAGATAAGATACTTGATTCTCCCCACGTCGTTAGTGAAGCCCACATTCTCAAAAGTGTACATGTCGTCCACTAACCAGTGGGCAGTCAGAGTGTCCCCATCCACTGAGCCCTCTGTGCTGCTGACGCCGCTCTTTTTCCGCATGGCGGGTAGGAACAGCTGGTGGGAGAAAAACACAGCCTCTGATATCATACAAACACTTGACAGAACTCAAAATCAACACTGCTATAGTGTTAGTCTAATTTGGATGTCTTCCTTTGCATATGGCCAGACCTAGCAGGGATAAAAGGACAAAAAAAATCAGACCATATCACTGCTTTTGTCAGAAACCTCCACTGGCTACCTGTTGCTTTCAGAGTGCAGTTTAAAATCTTCCACCTGGTATACAGAGCTCTAAATTACCTTGCTCCACCGTACATGTCAACCTTGCTTTCAATTTATGAACACTGCAGATCTCTCAGGTTACAAGGCACCAGTCTCCTTCATGTTCCTACAAAGTCCTGTGATTGCATGTAACATGTATATGCCTAAATAACTAAAGAGTCTGCCTGCTGATTATAACTCTGACAATGTGACCATTTAAAAGCAGTCTATATAAGCAGCCTATATAAAGTAACTGACCGGTGCCTTGGTATTGTTGTTCTTGTATATTTGTATGTATGTGTATATGTCATTGTGTTTATGTAAATGTATGCGTGTGAGTATGTATAGGGACTGCTTATTGTTTTATTCAGTGGCAGGGGAAGTTTTCCGATCCTTTACTTTTACTTAAGTAAAGGATCTGACAAAATAAGAATTCTCTATTACTAACATCACTAAAGAACATGAGCATTATTAGCAAAATGTACTTAAAGTATCAAAAGCAAAAGGACTTGCATGCATAAAATAAACTATTAAATATAATCATACTACATTATTGTTTGCTGATGTGTTAATATGCAGGTAGTATTTAGTTAGTGTGTTAGTAAAGGTGATGATATCAACTACTTTATTTACTGCTAGGTGGGTTAATCTATAATAGTGCATCATATTTTCAAAATGTATTTTATGTTTTATATGGAGCAGCTTTGTCATTTAATAGATTAGTAACTCTAGCTGTGAAATAAATTAATTTCAGACGGAAATGGAAATAATTCAGTTAAGTACAAGCACCTTCAGTTTTTACTTGAGTAAATGCACTTAGTTGCATTGCAATACTGGTTTTGTTATCATGTAAAGCACCTTGTACTGCTTTTAGATGAAACGGTGCTGCACTAATGCAATTAGACACATTTAATACCCCTAATGCAGTATTATCCAGAACTTACAGGCAACTATCTATGTGTCGGCCCATCACACCATACCTCTTTCTCTGCAAACACAGCCATCCCCGGACACAGCACCTTGGATCCGCAGCGCTGACACAGAACAGACTTGCTGTTCTTGCCGTCCTCAGAAACCAGGTCGGACCGCTCCGTGCTTTCTTTGGGCTGCTGACTGTTGTCCATCACGAGCCCTGACAAACAGCAAATGTACTCTGATGCTGATGCACAAAAGGCTTGAGACAGGGCGTCTTTCACCAGCCCAATCGGACTGATCTGAGGGACAGTGACTGACTGTTTTCAGCTCACAGACCGGGCAGTCTGCAGACCGGAATGGCCAGCCTCTGAAAATGTTAACTTATAGTTTGAAGTTTTAGTTAAGTTTAGTTTTAATAGCTGTTAGCCTGATACAGTCGCTGTAAATGTAAGCCCCGCCCATTGCATTTATGCTAACATCAGTGCTAACACGAAATTCTGCTATTATGCGACAAATAACTACATTACATACACATAATAATTACTTTTGTCAAAGGATACGTACCTAATGGTTGAAGGAAAAACAAGCGCTGAATACGACAATAAAATGGTAAGACAGACAGGTTGGCAAAGGCTAAGCTAGCATACTGGTTGGTCTTGAAGTGTACCAGCCACTAAGTACTCCCGTTTAGAAACACTTGCCTGTACTTTAGTTCCTGATTAAACAGGCTTTTTTTTTTTTTTTTAAGAATATTAGTCGGAAATTTTTCATTAATATTTTCATTCTAAAGTTTATCAGAAAGGAAACAGGGTGGAGGAAAAGGAAGATGCTTTTTGCAAAACATGATCCAGACATAAGAGACAAGATAATATAATTAGAAAAATTGGGTTGGGATGTTGTTGAACATCACATTCAGGAAGCCTAGGTCATGAGTCTGTCCCACTTGATATTTTGCAGAATTTATCATTGTATAAAGCCCCAATGTTCAGAGGATTTGGCAATTAGGACTTAGAAAAAAATCATCAGCATAATTGTTTATTACTGAGTGCAGATCTGTATTGAGATGGAGATTGAATACACCTTTGATGATGAAATGAAAAATGCTACATGATCGTGAATCCTTGAGGGAGACATGTTAACACTGAGTGCTTATACTTATATCTGATTTATTTTCCTGATAGTCTGGTATTTCATACAATTATGTAGTATTTTCTACATCAGCTGTGAGCACATCCCATACATCTTTTCTGCCGCTGATTTCCAACCGGCAGCTAATTCTAGCAGATGACTGGGAAATGATGAACAGCCGTTGTTTTGCAGAGGTTTACATGCTCAATACATAATAACGGTTGATCTCCAGAGTTCATTAAAACTGTTTTAAAGAGAGAAAACTAATTTTGTATTTTGTAGTTATGCACAGGCGATGAGCAGTAGATGATGAGTCCTGTTGTCTTCACAGTTGCTTGCGGCTGCTGTGACATTTTCAAATGTCAAGGTCTCACATTTCTAAGAAATCTGCTCACTCTCCTGAGTGTACATCACTCTCGCCAGCTGCTTGTATAGCCCGAATCTTCAAATATGCACTGGATACAACTGGACACCATGTTTATACATGTGGAAAAAAATTTATTACAATAATTTTCCAAGATTACCATTAATAAATATTTATGTTTACATTTCAGTGAAATGTATGATTTATCACTTTCTACACAGGACATTACACAAAGTCAAGAATACACGTTGTTTTAGTCTTTGTAATAAAGCTTGAATAAGTTGATCTAGAAAAAGGAGTCTTAAACAGCAGTTGATACAACCTATCAATGGAGTTGTAAGTTCAATAATGATTTGATTGTGTATATATATGGCAAGGAAAACAAGAAAAGTCAACATCTGGAAATCCTTGAAGCTCCCTTGACTGTTAAGATAGGCCGTTTTATTTAAAAACATTTCCATTGGCCTAAGGCACAGGAATACTAAAAGTTTATATCAATCATACATAACACATTTTAAACCCCATATGGTGATTTAAAGTTTAGAATTTTATAGCATACACTAGGGTGCATTTGATATTTACACCTCTCATTGCATTTGAAATCTAGCACAAAAGAAAGATCTTTAGCTGACAAAAACACAATTTGACCGATCTAGATCTGTACATTGTGCGTAGCCCAGGAACTATTACTCTAGAAATCATGTGTTGTCTGACTGAAAAAAGATGGCAGGTGAGTTCTTTTCACTTCAGCATTTTAATCATCTTAATCTAACCTGAACTGAGCTAATTTATTTTTCCACAGGAGCAAAAAACTTTTACAGCTTTTCCGTGCCATTAAACAATTTGAAATTTTTTTGTTTGACTTTTGTCAATTAAAATAATGCATCCAATGCAAAGGAACTTCTAAGCATTTCAGTATAAAATAATAAAAAAAACAAAAAAAAAACAAAAAAAAACGAGAAAGATCCAACCCTTTGATTCATTTTGGTCAAGGATCTGATTACCATTACCCATAGTGTTACTGTGACACGTCTGTACATCATATTTATGGGATCTAAACTATACGTTCCTTTTATTCATTTCTTATTTTATTTTGTGTCAATGGGATTTTAGAGTACTGACTGGGCTTTGAGAGTACAGTTCATGTTTTATTGCAGAGTGGACATGGGTGGGTTTGTACAGATTTCTACAGGTTTTAATGGAAAGCTGCACAATCAGTGTCAATCAAAAAAAAAAAATCTGATGAATTCCATACACACTATATGTGTATACTTTCATCCTCCTCAAGCAAATGTGTGCAGGCTCTCAAGCACCTAACTGGCCCTGGACTGCTCTACAAGATGCTTCTGGCTGACAGTACATTCGTCCTCTAACCTCTAAGGAAAATGGGAGGGAGAAAAGGAATTGTTTATAGTATGTGCTCTCTGCTACAGTACAAATAAAACTCTCTATACCCTTTGTGCAATGGTAACAGACTATGGAGAAGTTGGGCTACTAGTGAGCTTCTCAGAAATGAACATCAGTTACAGGAATACATGATTTTGGTTGAAGTCCCATTTTGACCTTTCTTTGAAACACATACTTTAAGCTTCATACTTATTGAAGAAGTGGTGACCGTTGAAGATTCCCTCCATAGCTCATTGGCTAGTCAATGCTACTTTATTTGAGCAAAAAAGAGCCAAAGCAGAAAGACCGTCAGAACCCAAACAGAATGTGAGCAAATCAGAAGTACAGAAGGAGCAATAAGTGACTATTGAATTCCAGCAGCATTTTAAGTGTGTGTGTGTGTGTGTGTGTGTGTGTGTGTGTGTGTGTGTGTGTGTGTGTGTGTGTGTGTTTGTGTGCGTGTGTGTGTGTGTTTGTGTGTGCGTTTGTGTTGTTTGTGGGGCTATAAAGAAAAGTATGAGTAAGTCACAGTCAGGGCTCTCAGAGTAGAGAGTCATCTGTGCATCCTCCCTCGAGGCCGTAACGAAACTCCTGCAGGTTGGAAACACCGTAGAAATGGATGAACGCTGCTGCCACGACCAGAACATGGAAAATCTGATGGGAATGGAACTAGAGACAGGGAAAGAAATATATGTGCATTAGCAAGATTTATTACCACGCACCTGCTAAATCAAATAAGAAAATAAAAAAATAAAAAAAAGGAAAAAAAATTAACCAATATCCAAAATTACAAGCTCAATCATTAATTCTCTATTTAATACATGATTTACAAAGTTGTGCGTACGTGTCTGTTATATCAGAAGTGAGGGTGATGCATTGCATTGTGAGAGTTTTAGCAGTGTAGCCCTTACCTGACAATAAGAATAAGAATTTTGACCGATCAATACTATCAGTTAACAGTTAAAATATCCTGAGACATCAGTACCATCTGAGCGGTTATTCTCCGCTGCGTGTCTCACAGTTAACAGATTGCGCACCAGACTAACCGCACTGCATGTCGACTGCATGTTGCTATTTCTGAATAAAAACCAGTGGAAAAGCTGCCCGCTATTCATTCTGAGAACTGAGGTATGCCTGGCCTGTGTATTTTAATTTGAGGTTTAATGCCAGTTCAACTCTTGTGTTGTGCGGGCAGTAGTCTGGCTGTTCACACCAGAACCACATCTTTCTGTGATTCTGGTCCTCTGCTCTGCTTTTTGATCATACGTAGAGCTGATCTTAGCCTCATGAATTTATAACGCAGAGGTTCTTATGTGTTCCTGGATGAGCGGGTTGTCACTTCTGCAACAATGAAGTTAAAAGGACTTGTCTTGTGTTTCCAGCCTGTCTGTGTGTGTGCACCTCTGTCTCACTCTGTTTCGACACTCAGGATCATCCTGGTACACTTTAGCCCTTGAGTATTGGTATTGGTATTGGTTTTTAAATGGGTGGGTTACAGACACTTGTCTGTTCTAAATAGTACATTTTAATCTTGTTGGTTAACGGTTTGAAGAGTGGATGTTGTAGTTACGTGGTGCGGTTCTCAACCATTTGGCTATCAGGACGACCCTGGACACTACATTTTTGACCTCAGTATTTATACCTTACATTCAGAGTCAGTTACTAGTCACAGGAACTATCACTCAGCCTGCGAAAACAGCTGAATAATGTCTTCTGTGGCTCTGCATTGTCAAATCTGCGCTCGAGTGAAATCATTTGTGCAATTGATTGACTTAAATTTGGAAACTATAAATTAGTAACGGAAGTCTTTGTATTACAAACCGGGGAGTTGAAAAACATCAACAATGTTGATTTATATTATGGTAAGTGCAGGATCGAGTGTTTTGGAAGTTGATTCATACAATATGTCTCTTTTGAGTCTCCTAATTTTAAGCAATACAGTGCTAAGTTATTGGAGGATAACTTAAAGCTAAACAGACAACAGATTCCTTGGCTAATGAGTTGAGCTGCCATTTGATTTTTCTGTACTTAAGGAAGCCGTCTCATATTTGTGCTGGAACTCTAAATCAAATGATTGATTTTGGAGAAAAAAGAGTTCATATCCTTAACAATTTATTAACTATCTAATCTATTAACCAAGCACCTGAAAGTTCTGGTATGTAAACACGTTAAATACTTACCCAGATGTCACACTTGCCAGGGAAATAGCGTTCAGGGATCCTAGCTGCATACAGACCAGCACCAGTGATATACATCGCCCCCATCAAGTAGAACCAACCCATCTGGCCGACAGTGGTGGCCTTAACAAAACCCTCCTCGATGGTGAAGTGCATGGTGGGGACAATGCCGCTTAGTCCCAGACCCATGAACACACCTAAGAGAAGCATGGACTTGAGTTACTTTGTGTAATTTTGAAATAAAAAAAAAAATCAACATCTACATTTCTAAACATTACAAGACAAAGATCATTATTATAAAATCATCAATCATCAACAGTCATTCATAACCACGACATGTTATCAGTGTTTCCACTACAAGAAAATTATCGCCTATCTAAAACATGGCTATTATCCTCAACTGGTGAGTACCTGCTCTTGTTGGCCTGTGACGAGGTGTGGAGAAGCGGTCCCACTGGGCCACTATGATGGCGGCAATGCCGAGGACACATACAATGGTGAGGTAGATAAGTCGAGGCTGAGGGGAACAATAGAACGAGTAGTACAGCCAGGGCACGAAAGAGCCCATGATCAGGAGGGCAATGCCCGAGTAGTCAAGTCTGAGGACAGAGGGGAGAGAGGAAAGAGAGAGGTTCTGGGTGTTGGGCTGGAAGATCTGCTGGATGCAAAAAAGCAAAAGTCTTCTCATGTTTCTGATCATTTAAATTTCTGAGTCTATCTCTGCTTTATAATCACTGTTCATGTAGGACATCCTGTACAATGACACCAGAACGTACAGTTATCGGATCTGTAAGTATTTTTGAGGCTGAAGTTCAATGACAAATGACAATTCAGGCAGTATCTTGCTCAAGCACATATGACATATGAACAGGAGGGACCAGGGGTCAAATCACTAACCCTGTGATGAATGGATGGCTGTTCTCCCGCCTGAATTTACCTTTTTTTAATATACAGTCTTTTGTGTCTTTTGATTGTTGTACCTACCACATGTTGGTCCCAAAAACATGTTCTAAAAACATTCACAAGCTTAAGTCTGAATGTGGAACTGAACTGAGGAAAATGTCAAATCACTCGATGATGCATTCATACTCTATGGGTAAGAAACTAACAGATGGATCTTGAAAGGGTAAGGAGAGACCGCACCTAATTTAAAAACAACAATACTGTAAATTCTTGAAATGAATTAAATTCACAATGGCAGGTTGCTGTGGCATCATGTTAGATTTGGCTGAACTATGAATCATTTTGCACGGATTAACGTTTTCCTCATTAATTGCACTGAACTCTAGGTGGCAAGCTGGAGCTGCATGTCCAGTATGATGACGCATATGGATGACTGAAATTAAAAACCCACCTACTACAAGGCAGCCTAAAATAGGAGAAGACTTTGACAGTTACAAATTATTCCTTTAAGACAGTTTGACAGTACAAGGCCTTACTTGGAGAAGGTGCGAGACACTTTCTCAGAGTGGCAGTAGACTGTATGGAAAAGCCAGGAGAAGCTGAGGCAGAGCACAGCTCCCAGGAAGAACATCCCAAACACCACTTTCTCTTGCAGTGGGGCCATAAAATACATGTTGGGCCGCAGCATGGTTAACGTGCCCAGACAAAGGAATAAGATCAGCCCTGAGGGAGAAAACAGACCAGTTTCATTAACAGCCGACAACAGAAAAGACCAGGACCGTCCAGAGTTTCCTGATAAAAGTATGTTATCAAACCAAAATGTCTGGTTGTAATCCAAATGAGAATATGTTGCTAAAAATCCTTGCTCAGCAATTTAGGAATGTTATGTAGGCCTTTAAATTCTCACCTAACAGGTGAGTCCAGATGTTTCCTGTCTCAGTGTGAATTCTGAAGATGCTTCCAAAACAGGCTCGAAAGGAGGGCATAGGGGGTCGATGTCCATGCAGGAGGTAATCGTTGTCCTTTAGCCACTCTGGCAGGACATGAAAAGGGATGACCCTCCAGCGCCCCTCCCAAACCTGAAAAGCAAGATTTACTTGATTCAGAATTACTGTATACCTGAAAAGGTTAACGAGTGAGAAATGTTATGGAGATTTAAGTAAAACAGACATCGATTTTAGTTTGTGTTATTGGCAGTTGTAAAGCTTTCAAAATATTTATTTTTCACATTTCTGTCTCAGTGCGCAGTTCTCTGAGATGACCAAAAATGTACCATGCTAGTCAAAGGTTTGGAAGAATTTTTACCATATTTTAGTATTTAAGGTAAAGTCTCAACATATATAATCACAATATATTTGTTAAGTACCCTAAAGTTTGAAAATACAAGTTATAAGATTATTTAATTCATTGGATAAGAATTTTCTCTTGATGACTATAAATACTCATCTGTAGCAGACAAAATGATGAATATTTATCTTATAATTGATGCTGACATCATCTTTGTTTGTTTGTCTCTGTTGGGCAATAATTCATTTCTCACATTTCTAACAATTTGTTACAGTTATCAGTTAACTCTTTTTGTCAGCTGTGCATAACCTGACATTTGCCTCCCATGGTGACGGGTGAGTCTCTTATATAACACATAAATCCTGTGTCTGACGTGGATTATAAAAACATGCGAAACTCACATATGACTCAGTCAAACTACACAGCAATCACAGGTTAATCCCGGGTTGCTGCTGTTCATCCAGATCTGCAACTGTATATCCATTAACCTCGCAGCAAAACCACAGAATTGTACACCTGCACGCCTACAAGATGAGCAGGGTGTTACGTTTCAGCTCTTAACGTGGTCGCTGCAATATTTATGCTGGTTCAATTTAAGGAAGGAGGCCAAATCGTGTAATGTGATAGGATCTAGGATCTTTCCTCATCAATCAATCACCAATATCTACTATAGGTTTATAACAAGATATCATATTTTTATAGTAAAAAAAATGTTATTATAGAAATCTATGTTCACTTTTTTCATACTAAAGCTAAGCACTTTTGAATTGTTTTAAAGCCCAGGTTGGGAACAGAGAAACTAGATTGGATAACATGTACTGACCTGTTCACACCAACCCCAAACATGGGTTAATCCCAGGTCGCTGTGTCGGAGTGAAAAGTATAAACCTTTGACTGGCATTTGACTGGCAAATTAAAACTTGGACTGGTGCTGTAATATAAAGTGGTACCTCTACAAGTTCAACGTACCTTGTGTACAAACTCTTCCATCTTCTCCATGGCGTGGTGAGCCTGAAGTGGTAAGGTAAGGACCTCTCCCACCTCATCATCCTCCTCTTCCTCATCAGCAAGCATGGCAGCTCCCTTCAAAGACACCACAAGAGATTACTGAAGCTACTGAGCAGAAACAACTTCTCTCTGGGGATCTTGTGAAACAGTCCTACCTCTGGATGGACGCCTTTAGCTGCTGCCTGGCGCCCCCCTCCTTCCTCCAGCAGTGGCCCCAGCTCCATCAACTCAACATCTGGGACATGGCAGTCCTCAGAGATCCGGCAGTCTGCATCACTTGCAGACCCGTTTCGGCCTGACATAGGGAGACTGCCTGATGACCCACTCACAATCTCTGTATTCTGCTTCAGATGGTATACTTCAATTTCCTCCTGCACAACCAGAACCACAATCACAGTCTTTATTGGTCTGTATCTATGTTGACACATTTCATGGAATTTGTGACCAGTACTCAGTGTCTCACAATATACAAACATGACAAAACATAACTGCTATTATATGAAGACAAGAGGTGGGGAAAAAAAACAGTATCAAAATGCAGCCCAGACTGTTCCTGTGTTTTGTACAAATAATAAAAAAGCAGGAATAAAAATAAATATTGTATATATAATAAATAGATATGCATGATACAATGATAGCCCATATATCACTGGCCAGTAAATGAGTAAATTCAATTACTGCTATTGTTCCATTAAGGGAATTTCAGACGATACTTCTATCAGGTAATGACGAGCCTTTTAACAACCCATGCATGTGACCTGAAACCTGCTTCTGAGAGGGGACCAGTTGTAAATAAGTGAAAACCCAGAGTATTTTCAAGGTCATTTCTTCCAAAGTAATATTGATGCTTTTTAGTTTATGTTATGACTGATTTTGAAGTTACAAGTTTACAATAACAAAATATGTCCTTTATAAATGCTAAACGCTCTCTAAATGTTGATTTTGTTAATAGGAAAATAAACACGTCAATCTAGAAAATGTCCCTAAACGGTACTATGTTTCTCACTGTCTATAAGGAGTTGCAAGTGTTAATAAGCCATTACTAAACGGGTAATGGCTTTGTCAATGTGTAATAAGTTATTAGAAACATTTGGTCTGTCACTTATAAATGTTAATATGCCACTGATAAGGGGTTACACAATAGGCCATCAGGTCTGTAGTTATTAAAATGAATAAGCTGTTTGTAAATAGATTTTGGTCCAGATGCCCTAAAGCCCCTTTCCCAAAGGTGAGTGGTCAAATAGGCCATTGGAGAGGTCTCACAGATGTAAATGAATTAAAGGGCTAAAAATACAAAATTCTCATGCCGGAGGCGGATTTTTCCACACCTGGCAACCCAAAAGCAGTTCCTACAAATAACTGATTAAAAAAAACATTAGCAAACAATTTATTACCCAATAACAGATCCATTAATTACAGCTTATAAACGCTTTATAACGTGGTACCCATTTATCCAACTCCTGATTTAAAATGGCTGATGAATGTATCTGGGTCTCATTAGAAATCCCATTCACTACAAAAGAACAAAGAAGCGGCTGAACTTATTTAGGTCTATGTCACCGGCCAAATGATCGGCCGACAGTTATAATCAGATAATACTCACTGAATCAAGCCAATATACGGACAAGTAATCCAGAGCTGAGGCTGACAACACGAACAAAACCTTAGACCAATTCACTGCTTCGCAAACCTGCCAGACGGATGTTGATTAGCAGCGTCAGACGGAACATGGAGTACAAAATGTAAACAACCGCAAGATACTGTCGAGTTAACATGAATCCGTCATCCCCACACGGCTTGTCATGCTTCATAACAAAGGGCTGAATAAACATTTACCGATCACCGATACATTTATAAGTCAGCTGGTCACGATATCGCTCATATTCCGGCTTGCTAACGTTACCTCTTAGCTAGCGCTGAACAGCCAAGCAGGCGACGCTGTTCTGTGGATATACCTGACTTCAAAGAAAAGTCCGTGCGACGACGCCAACCCATAACGCTAGCTAAACAACCTACTGTGCGGACATATGCTGTGATTACTTCATTAAATGAACATGAGTTACCTGACAAGGTAGCCTTCAAACCAGGAAGGTGAATTATTTATCTATATGCGAAACACAATCCTTTCCGGAAGTTGAGATCTCTTCCGTAACACTAATCCCTGTCCTTTTCAAAATAAAAGCATGCATTGGGTTGAAAACCATAGATCTTCATACTGCTTAAAAGCTTTAATTTATTTGCATTTATTTCAAGTGTTTCAAAAAGATATATAATATAAAATGTATATGCTAATCATATCAAAATTATGGTGGTCCTAAGATGCAAAATACAACAGAAAACACAACAAAATGGCAAATATATAACATGTCTATTTCAAATATATATTATAAATGTATCACAATTTTTCTACTTACTGTTTCATATCATATAAAAATGAAGCCTATTAGAGGCATTTTCATTCATTTTTTTAACAGCAGGACGATGATATCTTGTATATAAATCTATGTGAAATGCACTGTGGCCAGATATACTGCATGTTACCTTTATGATACAGTGAGTAACTTGCCTTCACAGTGAAAGTCACAAAAACGGAAAAGAGGCTGGTGCGTGGAGATCAACATAGCAGAGAATGAGGGAAAATAAGCGGTTGGATGAAAGCCTGTGTTCTCACAGCTTGTTGTGACAGATGGCTGCCTACGCTGATAAAAGACTTACACTTGTGCCATTTTCGTAAAACTGCTCCACACACTGTGAGAGCATGCATAGTGATGGTTTTCTGAAGTAGGGTTCATACACTTTGTACCTCTCACATACAAAACAGTGGGTAGAATCACAGAGACTAATGTAAGGTTTCAGAGCAAAAGAATTACATACAGCACATATTACATGTCAAAGATGTCCTAAAGAGTATGCCATAATATGCTGTTTGAAAATTATTTGTCTGTCTGAAGATTGCATTACAGTTTAAAGTACCAATACATCAAACATTTTCTGAACCCCTTTGCTCTCTGTGAAACCTGTGCCCAAAACAACACATTAATGTCTAATTACCTCATTTCCCTTAAGCATTTCCCTTTAAAAATAACAACCTTGAAGCACACAACTCTCAGGTGTTACTAATAACATTAATGATGGCTCTGTTCTGAAACTGCAGCAGCTAAATGGTACTCAGCTGTCCTTCAATTTACTGTTCATACCTGTGCTTTTCCTGCTCTGAAATGTAAAAATGTGTGCGAAGAAAAAGGCCTATAACACTGGAATAACAGGGCAGGATGCGAGTAAATGAAACTCAGCAATATGCAACATTATTCTTTATTTACTTCCACAGGAGAAACATTTTCACAGATTCTTTTTTTTTTTTAAAACAACAATGTAACACATTATTAGGTCCACTTAAACTACAGTAATGATAAAATAGAAGACAGTAAAAAAAAAAAAAAAAAAAAGGCCACACGGCACACAAGGTAACATGATTGTGGTCTGTTTTTTATAATATATATAATACATAATATATATATAACTAGACAGTCTTTACTGCTGCTCGATTTTGCAAACTCAGGTCCATGTCTTCTTTCATTTCAAGTCTGACTTTCTGTGGGTCCAATGGTGCAAATCACAATAAATTAACACATAAATAGATCACTGAGAGAGACCAGTCACTGTGTAGGTGTAGCCTGAATATGTGGTAATTAAATCTAATTCTTGACAATAAAATCTTATTTGGTTGAGAGACGTAGGTTCTGCTTGTGTATCACATGTGGTTAGTGTGTAGTGATCTGCTGTCTCAAACACTTTGTGAGACACTGAAGAAGATACAGTTAAAGTTCAGGTCATTTAAATTTATATTTGACACATTAATAGCTGCCAAGCATCAAGACTCTGATCTCATCTTAATTAGCTACTTTATATCTCATGTGAGTAAATTAGTATCTAGATTCAACTGGTTGATTAAATCAGTTACAAATTCAAGTTAACTGGCACAGCCACAGACACATGTAAGTATAAAAAAGGACAAAATTGACTCGAAAAGTACACGACAAAGAGGATAAACCTTGGACTTAAATTTAAGCAGCTCAAGTTCATTAACATGGTGACTCTATCAAAGTAACATTACAAACAAAATGTATTTTAAAAAAGGGATATGTTGCTCATTTACATTATTTTACAATTGATTTATGTCCTTCATAAGACTAGTTGAAAAGCATTTTTTATTCCCAAACTAACAAACTGCAAAAAGTGAACTTCTCATTCTTGATTTTCTCATATTCAACATTATGCGTTTTTGGCTACAGATAGCCACATCTAATGCAGCAAGATGTGATAAGACCAAGTTAAGTATATATAAAGCAGTCTACATGACTATTTTACATTTGTCTGAACAAAATCATAATTCATCTGAGATTAACTTCAGCAATGACCTTGAGTTATTCTTAAAACATTCACATTTCTCATAATCTAACTACAATGGGAAACTTTAGTGGTTATTCTTGTGTAAGACCTCCAGCTATCCTCAACCATTTGTGACTGCTTTACATATGAACAAAACCCTGTATTTAATAACACAAAAAACTGTGGGATGATTATCTCTGATTTTGATTCACTGAATAACCAGTATCGAGCTGGCAGATGATTTCATGGTGTCAGACTTGGACACCTCATTTCCACAGAACAGTCGCAGGTTAAAACAGCACTCACTAATAAAGAGCATTTATCACCTTTTCAATTCATAACATTTACCAAGCAGTAAATTCAATGCTTAATTTGAAACTGTCATTACAGAGCAATGTACAGAGAGTGGATGAAAACAAGAGACAAACTTTACAGTTCTACTCCAAATCCAATACAGCTGCTCTGAAATCAGCTATACTCAGTGTGACAGAGACATGTTGGTTCAACTTTATAGAAACTTTGAAGACTGCAGTTTGTGTTGTTGTACTGGATTGAATTTCATCCTCCCGCTGTATGCCCAAACACAGGCTGGCAGATAAACATGATGATGTGAGCTTTCCTGAAAAAAGTTTGAGGCGTAAACCGTTAATCCAACTTGACTTCCTGACTACTTTGCTTTGGTTTACTGGGAATTGATCCAGTTGCAGCCTTTGAGTGAAAATGTTCAGTTTAGTGTCCGAGTTTCACCTGTTTACACTTGACTTATGTAGTGAGAGCCATCATCTACAACCCAGTGCCCTTGTGTGTCATCTGCAGCTCTTTGGAGAGCCCTTCTTTGGATAACCTAAGGGTCAGCAACAGAAAAGAATCATGAGTCAATCAATCAGTAAAAACAAATAGTCTCAGTGTAATGACACGCAGTTGATTGGGTAATATTCAAATGTAACTGCAGCTTATACTCATACTCACATTAAGTAATGGTGGTTTATATCGCTGTATATTTAGCACTTTTCCATTATTGTAAACAAACTAAATCAACAAAAACCCATATCTGCTGCATCCAAGATTTTCTCTGTGACTTTTTAAGAGACAAGCTTGTATTTAAAAATATTAATGAGACAGAGGAAAAGTGTTTACATGTCTAAGTAAATGGAAACAATGAACAGAAATCTAAATGTTTTATCTGAACTGTGTGTGCAGTGGTGTTAACATGGTATCCCCAACATTTGCAGTACTGCCTTGATCAATTTAAAGTTAGATTATCACGGTGCATGCAAACCCGCTGTCTGTATCCTTATAAACTTCAAATATTAAAACACAATGCACGTTTCTTATCTCTGTGTGTTTAAAATCAATGTCCTTTTCACATCTATTAAATACTTAAAAACACCCATCTATCAGGTCTATCGAGAAACCTTAAATAGCATATCCAACTAAATTTAATTCTAAATTTCCCCTCAACTTTTGCATGTAACAATCTGTAATTTCCATGTACTATTCATCTCAGTAAAAAGTCCCTTTGGGCAGCATATTGTGAAGATGTGATGAGAAAAATTGTGACAAATAACACATAAAAATAATTAACTGCTTAACTCTCCTTTTTGCAGTATTTCTGGCTGACAAAGTGTTGGTCATCTTTGCTGCCAGACTGATAGTTTGGTGTGCTTACCTGCTCATGGTACTTTTGATTTTGGAAGCAGGGCGACTCCCGAGCTGACATGTTTTTCACTCTGACTGCTCCCTGTCGGTCAAGAGAACGGGACCTGGGGGATTTCAGCTGACTGCGCCGATGCCAGGACTTGAGCTGTTCATTCACCATTTGTCGTGGGACACCGCTGGAGCAGTAATGTGGGTGGTCCCATAGAGTTGGGGCAGGGGAGAGTCTGATATCAGGAGGTAAAGGCCTCTGTGCTCTCTGGTGGGGCACAGCAGGGTCATTATACCAATAGTCATATCTGTTGGAAGGACAGGGAGCCTGCTGGGCGTAATAGCTCCGTGTCATGTCCATATCAGGTGGGCAATACATTTCATTGTAATACGCTTTGTGGGTAGTGGGGCTGGGCTGGTGCCTGGAATTATGGTAAAAGCCAGTACGTGGGAAGGCTTGAGGTCCATAGCTGCCAACTGGGCTAGAGTGCGGGAATGCAGGCTGATACTGTCTGGGCAAATCACAGTGCAACTCCTGACACGGGGAGCTATTGTAAGATGTAAACGAGTGTTCGGAGTTGCTATCCTCAGAGCTAGCATGGCTTCCATAGTTCACTGTAGGGGGAGTGGTCTCTGGTAAAGTCACTGTGTACTCTGTCAGTCGCCTCCGTGGACCTCTGGTGCGGCCGCGGTCCTTTTCAAATGAAGATTCAGGGTTGGACAACCTGTGCAAATCACAACAATGTTCTATATCAACTATATCAACAAGGCTACTAAGCAAAGAGACTGAACAACTTCTAATTATGTCCATCTCACAGTCTCTGATTTCTTAAAATAATTGAATGTGTGAAACTAAATGATATCACTGTGACCAGAACTAAATTACATGTACAACAAAGGTGTGCAGCTTCTAACACAAAGCACTGTGGATGTAGGTGTGGTTACCTGAGGGAGAGTTGTCTGTGCACACGCATCTCTGGTGTGGAGGGTGTGCTGTTCGACTGGGTGCGGCTCAGCCTCAGATGGGAAAGTTGCAGTGGCAGAGATGATTGTGCTAAGCAAGCCTCCAACGGTGGCAACAGTTCAGTTTTGGCTGGACTGCTGAACACACAAAAAGGTAGAATGTGAAATATGGTATATTTTGTTTCTCAATTTGTGTTTATATACACACACAAAATAAATAAAATAAATAAATAAATAAAATGCTTAAAATATACCCAGAAATTGTTCTTTGGTCTTGATGACAAACATCAACGGTGGAAATTACAATGATAATAAATTGAAACAATTTTAACATATTTCAAAGTTACTGTTGTATTACTACCTCTGACATACTCCAGTCTAAACTCATTAGTGATTGAATGTAGATGTGCACAACACTGATCTATTACACTGACTGTTATAGCACCAGTGCAAAAGCAGATGGCAGTGTTGCACATTCATGAACACTCTCTACATTGTGATATAGAGCAGGAACAATGACAGTGAAGATGAGGCTTAAACTGATGAAGTATTTCAGAAACCATTATTACTGGAAAGAAAAGAAGTGTTTCTTCAATCTGCTCCATGTTGTCTCCACCAACAACAACCGCTACGCACTGGGAACATCAATGAGGTTACACAGCAGCCCAAGTAGACAAATCCACTCGTACCCATGCAGTGTCTATGGACCCACTACAATGAATATAACTGAGCATTATCTTTTTCACCTCCCAGCATCCTTTCAAGATCTGCTTTTCACACGGCTTACTACTCTCCAAGTACTAAAGGTCACATTTTGCTTCTCCAATACTAAAAAGTCGATGAACAGGAAAGGAGTTGCGATGAATGGCCTGTGTTACCTCGTCTTGATGGAAGAGCGTGACTTCTTGCTCTTCTGGTAAGGTTGGTCCAGACTCGACTCTGTCCACGGGGAGTGTTGGATGGGAGGAGCGTCGAATTCTGGGTTTGAGTCGAGGCTTGGGTGTGGAGACTGACTCGGGGTCAGTGGAGCCACAGACGGAGACATGAAGGAGCCATCTAAGGAGGACTGTGAGGACACAGGGGGAGGCTGGGGAGCATCCGTCTCTACTGAATAGGGGAGTCCTGAGGACGGCTGTGATGACTGGCTTGTAACTTCTAGAAAAAATAGAAATGATACAGTGTATGATATGATTATTCAGTGTCAATACCTGCATCGCCTCAACAGACTTCTTCCGTAACCTTTTAGGTAGATACTTTCATGCAGAGAGACTGTGAGCACTGAGGCATTCAAGATAAATACTTACTGGACTCTGCTCACATTGCCACGCTTTATGGTTAACTGGTCACCTGACAAATACTATCCAGCTTTCAAAAGTCATAGATTTGCTTTCATCAACATTGGCCTGTAAACAAAAGCTGCTCTTACACTGGTAGAAACTAGGCAAGGCCAAGTCTTACCTTCATCTTGCACTACAGAATCAGACAGGGAGCTGTCATCAGATGTACCCAGATCTGGAAACCAAAACAGAAACAGACTAAATGTTTTGATTCATATGTGAAGTATAAAATGACACATGAAAAGTCAAGGACTGCTCTATTAAGATATTCTGAAGTGAAAATCAATTTATACCCTGCACTGAAGATTATAGTATAGTATCATCTAGTCTGGCCAGGCGTCTCTCACCTTGTTGTGTAATATTAAAAGCAGGGAGTGGTGATGATTGGCCGTGCTCTAGTCGCAGCTGAAAGGCCGTCTCTTGTAGCTGTTTGAGTTTCTTCTCCTCTCTCTTGCACTGCTTAAAACGGCTCTTTTTAACAGCCTTGCTCAGGTGATCCTCCTCGAAGAGCTTGCGTGCTGCCTCAAATATTTTCATCTGAAGAGCCAACTCAGCATCCACTAAACTCAGCTCTGACTCCTGGAAAAAAGGGCGTGACAGCGGAATATATAGAGACAACAATGTGACTCTGGAAACAATCTATATCCTTGAGCTTTATGCATTGTTGAAAAATAATATTAATCCATTATGCAGTCTCGAAATGCTGCTTGTACCTCTGCTACCCGGGGGATACTTTGTGCATCCAGTTTGAAAGCAGCTCCAATACGTCTGCGAATCTGTGGAGGCTTCTCTCCAGGCAGGAGAGGGTAATCATCTGACAGCTGTCCTGTCAACTCCTAAACAACACAGACAAAAATTCACACACAAAGCAATATTTGAACATGACTAAAGGCTTATTTTTCACAGTTAATCAATATACAGACATCTTATAAATCAACACTGATAAATCCTATCAGTTTAGTTGTTCAAATAAAGACAAGCACATCTCTCCAGAGTCTATTCAACCATATCTGTGGCAGTTTTGAAATGATGTACAAGTATCTTTGCTCTCCTTACATGTTGAGGCAAACAGGTTCAGGGAATCTGTTGCACAATTCTGTGAGATTTCCTTTCACAACACATTCTTTCGGTCTCATTTTCTCACTGTAACACATATCCATGTCCAAATCAAACTCAGGCCATGACAACGCACTGTCACTGATTTCATTAAAGAACAGACATAAAGAAACTGTCACTTTGAGTCACTCCTAGACAGCCACCTTTACAGACAAAAAAACGTAATAGCAACCGGTGAGTTTACTTGTTCTTTTGTCACTGAGAGAAGGGAGAGGCATCATGTCTCCCATTAGTTCACCTAAGCATGTCCCAACAGGAGTGCCCAGCCCGAGTGTCAACAGGAAAGAATGATCAGTCCTGGGATTTTACCCTGGAGCAACCACGCATGGCAGCAATACTCAAAATGTGAGTGTGTGTCCAGCTTTGAAATGACTTACTGAACCTTTATTTGATAGTTCACAGTACGGAAAGAGAGAGGGGCATAAAAGATTGAAAATTAGAGGGATGACATGTGACAAAAGTCTCATGCTGAATTCAAATCCAGGCTGTTATGGGAGCATTTAAATTGCTTTGGCCGACTGAACCACCAGTATACCTTTTCAAAAGCTGTGATACATTAAAAAAAAAATCTCACTGCAGCCACATGGCATGTTCTAATTTCACTATAGACTGTATCTGAAATGAAGGGGATGATGTTTGTATTCTGCTTAGTGGTCAAGCCAAAATAATAATGTCACAAAGGAGAGGAGGTTATATTAAAACACCTATTGTTTCCTCTCAGTGGAGCTCCTGACTGGATATTAACCACTGTGACATGAAGTCCATGTTGAAGTTAATGCAGACATTTTGGGTCTTTCCTGCACAGACAGACACTGTTTTCAACAACCATCTCCTTGAATCTGCTGTTTAGAGAGTTTTAAAATCTTGTCTTGTACTGGTGTGAAAATCGAGCGCTTAAAAACTGCAGCCTATGATTGTGCTGTGATCTGTGCTGGTAATTTGCCAGGTCAAGTGACCTGTGTGCACTCAATGAAAGGAGATTCAAAATAATCTGAAAATGCAAGTGAGAACTTTTGGCACAAACACCATTTCCTATTTCATGCACATTAGTGTGGACATGGCAGAACACATCTGAAATATCCCTCTTGCAGGTTACTTTGTTCACCTGCAGTAAAATGTGTCATCACACATCCTGCACTAGACTACCCCACCTATTTAATCCTTTCTAAAAGCTGCTTAATCATCTGCAATATGGCAATATGGTGAGTGCACCTTGTCACAGCTTGCATAATGATGCTACAACTGTCTTGACGTTTACGTTAACTAGGTCTACTAACACCTTTATAAAGATTTTAATGAACGTAGATCATCATGATTAAGTGACTCATTTATTCTGTGATATGTATTTAATGTAATTTTATGCAGCCTCATTAGGTTTTAGTCTGTTGACCTGTTTTGTAGATCACTTTTACTTACAGCTTCACGGATGCAGAGTTTCTTCAGCTCCAGTAAGCAGATCTCCAGTCTGTTTTGGAGATCCTGGTGTTTGAGCTTCATGGCTCGTGTGTGTGTGGTCACATCCTTCGTATGCGTTGTTGGGCTGTCACAGCCTGTGTCATGCAACAGGAAAGAAGAAAATGCACTCGTCTGAGATTATGAGACTCAAGTGTGGCTGTTATATATTTCTTCAATCAACACTCAACACACAAGACCATAAGTAGGTGAAGTTAAAGTAGAAAGTTAGAAATGACCATATGAAGCCAAGATATGCCGTTGCACATTTCAGTTAAATAAAGATCAGTAAAAGCAAATTAGACCTGCAACTAGTGATTACATTCATCAAATAATTTGATCAATTAATTGATCATTTTATTTTGGTTAATTGATTTATTTAGTCTATAAAAGTAATTTAAAATGCAATAATATACAGAGTGCCTATCACAAGTTCCAAGAACCCAAAAAGATGTCTGCTGAGGAGCCTTTTTAGCCCAATGAGTAGTCCAAAACCCCACTGATAATTAATGTACAATGACAAAAAACAGAGAAAAGCAGCAAATCCTACCACTTAAGAGGCAATTGTACATATATATATATATATATATATATATATACACACACACACACATATATACAGTACATATATATTGTTTCAGTCACTGGTGAATGAATGAATTTGTTAACACTGAAAACAAAAGTTACTTGCAGGAAAAAGCAATATTTTAATATATAAATTCATTGATGCCTGTACATGTACATCATTTTAGGACATATTTTAACTCATGTTGCTGCAACTATATTTATTTGTTGTACGGTGAATGGTCCCATTTCCTGCTTGACCAATACATTAGTTGTGCAGGTTATAAAATGCCAGCGGTAAAGAAAATAAAAAATACTTAACACTCACACTAACACTTAGTTCAGACTGTTTACCATCTTCTTAACCTTGTGTGTTTTAATTTTAATTAATTCATTAAATTTTATTTTCTAAATGTGTATTTGTTGCCTTATATTCCTCATAATTTTTCCAAGAATGTATACTCACACCATGAACCCCCATATTTTAATTAAAAGTAAACTTTAATTATATTAAGATTAACTCCCGAGGCCACTCTGGCCAACACAATGGTTAAATTCAGTCAGAAGAATTTGTTTTTATCGTTGTTTTCATCAGTCAAACTGAAACTGCAGAGTGAGTTTCAAGATCATTGTAATTACAAAAATTGTGTGAGTGTTGGACTGGTGCTGTCTGTAGCCTGGGTGACTAATGACATCAGATTAGTCTCAGAGCCGTGGGAGTGGCTTCAGGCAAAATGCATTGAGCACCACATACCTTCAGAGATTATTAACAGAATCCCTGCAGGTACTGACAAACATCTGAGGTGCGACAGGAAAGAAGTGTGACAGCACTACAATGGAGCAAAAAATTCCTCTTCCTACAGGGACAATCCCCCCATTCTTTGTCGATAGACACTTTCTCATTGTATAGGGCAGACGTCACGTGGCTCAATTAGGGCGCAAGGAATGTCAGCGAGGCCATAACTAATCAGGAGACACTACTAGTCGCAGCAAAACACGACTGGCAAAGTTTGCTGTTAATTCTATTGTATTTTTACCTCTGCCGAGGAGGTAATATTTTCACCCATTTGTCAGTGGGATTACGCAAAAAGAACAGAACCGATTTGTGCCAAACTTGGTGGAGGGATGGGGCAGGGAAGAACCCATTAAATTTTAGGGCAGATCCAGATCATTTACAATGAATTAGATTTTTTTTTCTGTGAAGTCTGGTGTACGTTGCTTGATATTAGCCTTGGCAGAGGTCAGACAACCACATTTTGTGACTGCCTTTAATGAAGTTGATTGCGGCAATCCTAAAATACCTAAATACAAAGAATAACATATTCAGTAAGGTTGCAATCAAATATTATTTTTGTTATTGAATAATCTGTGAATTATTTTTTGTTTAATTGAGTAATCATTATGTCTAAAATGTCAGAAAAAAAGTGCCCCTCACAATTTTCCAAAAGCCAAGTTGACATTTGCTTTGGCCAAACAATCTTCCAAAACCAAAAGACATTTTTGTTTATTATAACTGCAGACTAGGAAAACCAGCAAATTCTCACTACTGAGAATCTGGAACAACATACATTTTGGTATTTTGGCTTAAAAAATTAGACAACCCATCATTTTTTTTAACATATCCTCATGTGGTCAAGGATGCAGTGACTTATCTGGCAGCAAGTCACAGTGGATCACATGCATTAGTCCCTGAGCTTTCACATGACAAGTTGTTTTCTTTAACAAAGTAGATGACTTTCGCTTGTTTTCAGCTGGCTGGAAGTACAACCTAAGACAAATTAAATTTGGTGTGTGCTGGAATTGATTTAAGAAAGTAGACTATTATATTGCGGACATGATTGAGACCTCTGCTGCCAAGAGAATCATAACAGCACTTATTTACTCCAGGTAATCTTCTAGGATTGTGTTATGCTCTGAAAGGATGTCATTTTGCTAAATATTATCACAAGTGCGACCTCACTCCAGCCAATAAAAGATGTGAAATGTGCCAGAAGGAAATTTATGTTTTGCCAGATATAAATGATGGTTAGTTAGAAGGAGTGACAGCTCTGTCATGTGACTGGTAACTGAGCCTAAAATAGTCAATAAACCAAATTATTTGTGACACACATACATGGGGAAGTAAAGTGAGAGACCATTCTGATAATCTTGCGTTTTGTTTGCATATGGGTATACTTTGCATTACATTTGTCATAAACAATAATAATCTACGTTTTGAATTAATCGGAGATTTCTTATATGTCTTCTGTTTGAGGTCATTTGAAAAGCAGGTGCAGCGATAAGATTACCGTAATGTGTGTGCTGAGTTTCAACAATGATTTAGGCTTTCAGCAAAAACCTACTGGCTCAGCGTTTTGTTTTTAAACAAATATGTACTTTAAATCAAGGGTGTTGGTTCTCACACCAATTTGTCAAACTCTTTATTTAGGTTTGAACAGTCAAAGAACATTTTGATAAGAAACTGCTCGAACTTCTGAAATGAGGCTCGACTTAAATCCACTTTTCTGTTTTCACATTAACTAAAGCAATTCAGTAAAGCTGCCCAGTGTTTCTCAGACACATTTGGGCAACCAACCAAAGAAAATCAACAGCCCAGGTTTTTTTCTACCAATTTCAGTTCACATGATGCTGGACATTGTGGCTGATGTAGATTTCTAATGTTTAATATTTACTGCGGTCAAGCAACAAGCCTTGCTGCAATGAGCTACAGCGATTTAATGTAATTACACCTGTTTTGTGGAGCATGTCTGGTCCATCAAGTTGTTTTGTGCTGAGTGGAGAATTTAATTTGAAATTCAGCCTTTATGATCAAATGTAACGGTTGTGTTGTAGAGGCATTAGTAGAGACACTTTAGATCATGTGACATATTTCAAAAAGGTCTGAGTGATACATAAAAAGTGTTTTACCTGAATGAAGGATGATGCCACTGTCGGTGTCACTCATCTCTCCGTTGCCTTCCATATCAGTAGATCGACTTCCTGTAGCAGTTCTTCAGTGGAGACAAAGGATAATGTTGATCATCACCATGTCCTGTAAAGTATGATTTCAGTTTTAGGAGCCATCACTATTTTTTAAGCTTTTTTCAAGTCTACATCAACATGAATTTCACAGTCAGTCAAGTCAAGGATATTTTGTTTCATGTGGAGGCCATTTCAATGAATCAATCCTATTGTGAAAGTGACAACGATGGCTGATCATTTGTGACAAAGTTTGATAAACACCAAAATTTCAAATCAGGACTGATTCAAACTCTGACAATTCAGCCCAGAAAGCAGCACAGTTTGAAGCTCACAGCCTTTTGGGAGTCAAATCACGAGGAAAGGAAACATAAAAAACACACCTGAATGTTTAAGTACGATAACAAGCAACTAGTCATTAGGCTACAAAGAAAAGCAAGCCTAAGTCCAAACAGACGGCCCATGACGTAATCTTGTGACCTGTTGATTCAGTGATTCAAGTGTTACGTGCCTTCTTGACACCACAGTCAGATGTAGTCATAGTCTCCCACATCATGAGTACACATACATGTTACCAAGTCTAGGGAGTTTCCTGTGACACCATGTTTATCAGTCTTTGATGTCATATCATTCCTGTTATCTCCTTTGGATGAGTGGCTCAGGATGCATGAGCCATATATACAACTGGTGTCAAATAAAAACTGTGAGGCTTGTTGGTTCGATTATTAACTATGAGAATACGGGAATGTGGCGGTGGTTGCATTCCAACACACAGGGACGTTTGCCTCAGCTAGTGGTGGGAAACTTCTCACCAGTTATTGTTTTTAAGAACAACTAGTTGAGTTTAAGTCATAAGCTACAACAAACAAGAGGTGATTACCATAATGTTGTTCGAGCTACAGGGTGACATCCAGGAACATCAGCATCCTGAATATGACATAAACTTGAAACATCCTCCGCACATCATATGACTGTGACTGGACAATTCCCACCTCCCACAGATATCTGACTGCTGTGCTTACAAAACAGTCAATCTACAGCACATAGAAACAACACCTCAAATATAAACTATTAACTACTACAACAACTCTTTACCAGGTACAATTTGGAAGGTGTAGATTTGCATGTTAGTCAGTGGGTCAACAAATATCAACTCAGCCACAGGATATTTTATTGTGTATCTACACACTATAAAATTACAAGCAACAGTTATTGTGTGAGGATCACAACAGTGATCACTTGGATGACAGCAAAAATCAGAAACGGCCACAGCTAACAATTTTCATTGTTGATTCATCATTGAATATTTTTTTTGATTAATGGACAAATTATATATAAAATGTGAAAATATAGATATACCTATCACATGTTCCCAGAGCCATATTCAAATAGCCACAAGTATGATGATCTAATACAGTACTTAATATATCAAAGAAATGCTGTACTTGAAAAGTTGGGGTGTCCAATCGTATGTCCTGGAGTGTTTTTAGTTTCCCTTAGGGGCTTTATCGTGAGCTAATCACTGAAATCCCCTGAAAATCCTGCGGACTCTCATCCCTCCACCGCACGTCTGGAGTGTTATAGGGAGGGAACAGAAACTACTAAAGTAGTTTGATGCACAGTAGATGTGCAGGATCACCAAGCAGTCCCCGGCATATTTCTGATTATTGTTGAGTCTGTTGTGTTTTACCTGTATGGAGACATTTCTTTTGCACATTATATTTTGTAACTATTTTCCTTTTTTTGAATAGATTATTACATCCACTAAAACGATATTTCTAATTACAGGCATTTCTTATGGGAAAGGGTTTTAAAAAAAATCAAACACACATACAAAAACAGGAGTTATCCCTGTTTTGAAGGTGTTAAGAAACAGTGTGGGTAAAACCATGACTGTGTCAATACAAATTATTATCTCAAAAAATACTATTAACACCATGACAGTCATTCCACATTCATCCACATGGATTTAGCCAGAGGATGAATTAAAAAAGGCATAGAGAACATGAAACTGGACAACATATGAAAAATCTACTTACTTTATGAGAAACTTGGTAAAAAACTGTAAAAATCTGAAGACTGAAAATTGTCCCTTAGAATTCCCGACTTGAATGGAAATGCACAAAGCCCAAGCTGTGTGGAGTCTGGACAGGAATGAGAGACTCGCCCACTAACAAAGTGGTGCCTGCTGAAGAGGAGTGGCCTTGAACAGAGAGGGCTGAACACTTGAGTCAGTATCATATAACTCAGCACTCCCGTCTGAGTTTGAAACTGTGTCAACAACAATGGCCAAGACACTGAGAAATTATGCCTCACTTTACTTCCTTATCAGTATACTAATAAATTGGTGGTGGCAACCTGACCGAAACATCTGTCCCCTTACAAAAGCACTAATGCAATATACAGTATATTTAAAAGAAAAGAAAAAAAAAGAAGAGGAAAAGCATGACAACAATTTTGGTAATTTTTCAAGCAAAAATGAAAAAACTTGTCTCAGTTTTTCAAATATGAAGATTTGCTGCTTTTCTTTGTCAAATAAGATAATAAAGTGGTAGGATATCACCTCCTGCTCTTTTGATGGGTGTTTCTTTTTGAAGAAAGTTCTAACATTTCATACACCGAACAATACATTGATTTGACAGATCAGTCAATAATGAAACTATTCAGCAGTTGCTGCTCTGGTCAGTTTATCGACATGATTTTAGTAAACAACAAACTTCAGCAGTCAAAGAATCTGTTTAACTATGAGATGTATGGGTGCAGGTATATGGGACATTTTCCAAAATGTCTAAGGTTTAAGCATAAATATATGAAGTCAAACATCATCTCATAGTGCTTTCATCACTGATTACAGATAACTTTATGACTTGGTTGTTAATGACTGTCTCAGTCTTGGATTACTGTTTTCTCACGATGACCACCATAAATCAATGGTAACTACTGTGACAGTTCAGCTCTGCATGTTCAAAGATCAAATAACTGGTCAGTGCATGACTACTGCCATCTCCTGGCTGTTTAAGAGGCAGAGGCAAATGGATAACCAATTAAGAATTTACTAATTCACTATCTTAGATTTTCATATAGCTTCTGAAACTTCACCATTTCTCCATCTATGTCCAAAATGCCAGTACCGAGGCCCTTTTGTGGCCTGCCATTTTTGTTTCCGCTAAAAAGAAGGAAACACATGGTGGTGGGATAGTCCTCATGATTTACAGACACCCAGAGGCAGCACCTGCTCTGTAGCTGCATGGCTCACATTCATTCTGAATCTCAATATTCATTTTGGCTTTCCAGGAATGTTGGTGCACAGACACTCTGAAAAAAGGCCCCACAATTCCCAGACACTCAAGAATCAGATCTCAGATGACATGGCACCGAGAAAGAAGCAGCTACAAGACAAAAGCTGAAGATACTTGGTTCTGCTTCTACATTTAGGCTTCACAGTGTGAGCATAAGTGGGAACATTTCACAGATACCAGGCATGTAGACCTGCAACGATCTGTGGATTAATCAATTTGTCGAGCTACATAAAATTAATCTGCAACAACTTTGATAATCAATTAATCGTTTAGATCAGACTCGAGGCAAAGATTCCAGCTTCTTAAATGTGGATATATCTGGTTTTCTAGACTTTGATGAAAGTAAACTGAATATCCTTTTATCTAAAATAAAACAAGATATTTGAAGATATCAACTTGGACTCTGGGCACATGTGATGGGCACTTTTCACTATTTTCTTAAATTACATACTTAAAATTTGTGATTAATTGATTAACTTGATAATGAAAATAACCATTCTTTGCTAGTAAAATATCATATATTGCTGTACTGGCACTTGTACTGGTTACCAGTAAGCTGAAGCAAAGACAGAAAACAAGAAAGACATAATGCCTGGTTGATATTATCCATGAATATTGGCTCATTAACAGATCAGTGTGCATATGTTAGCAGCCTATAGCAAAATACCAGCCTTGTCACACTACTGCCATATTTATAACTGGAAGGTTTCAGGAGATTTCCACAACCAAGCATGACAGGCTGCAGGCTATTGCATTAAGGGAGTCCCGACCTATGAGGCGCTGCATGTTAGAATTTATTGCAGGACTGTTGAATTAGACAGCATTAATTTTAGCTACGTGTTCCCAATAAACTGAAAAATGAGTGTAAGTATAAGGAAGGTCCGAAGGGAGGGATAAAACCTACCGCTGACCAGCGCCTGTAAGGTTAATAGAACAAAAGAGCAACAGCAGCAGCACCTTGTGTAAACAAGCTGCACACCAAACAACTTGATAACCTAAAATTAGATGTAAGGGAAGTGTAGTCATACTGATTAGCAATCTCTATTGATCATGGGAAAGTACTCCCACTCAAGAGGTCATACCAACACTAATCTCAACAGCAAGAGTGAGCAGTATAATGGAAAATGCTCACAGACACATCTTAAAATCTATTCAGACACAGAATTGTCAAATGAAACCTCAGAGCTGGAAGGAAATCAGTCATATCACAACCTTCCTCTAGCAATAAAGCAATCAGTATGACCGTGCTGTGAAGTATGTCATGTGTGATGTGACGACTAGTTAAGCAACTTCCCACTACACTCCTGTACAACACAAACACCCATCCAGTGTTAAAGTAGCCAGTTGGTGGATGTCATGGGTAGTTTATATAAACCAGAAGTTCCTCAGAGACAGAGAGAGGGCTTTGTGTAGGCAACCCAGCAGCTGGCATAACAAATTCTTTAAATATTCTTGAGTCCTTTTATAAGTGTACAGCTAGACTACTACTGCCAGCATGTGGAGCCATCAGCTGCCAGGGGATCACACATTTTCCTCTCAATATTTTACAACTTGCCTCTTCCACCAGGTGCTAATGGATCATTTTGCCATAATGATGCTTAAATCAAGGTGGTGTCATTAAAAAGTGCTATAAAGTCGCACTAATGTACTGGAGATCCTGAGGCTTTAAAAGGCAAACAAAGCAGCTCATGGAGCTGCTGGGCTGCCTCCCACCTCTCTCTGCCTGCAGCCAACTTTAAGCTTTGTATTGCCTAAAGGCTCTAATTGAGAATAATAAAGATGTGAAATGAATACTGTGTGTATCTCAAATGAGCAAGCGTGCAGTAGTGGCGAGTCTGATGTGGACCGCTGAATTATAAGTTTGTGCACCACCATATAAATCAAGGCCTATTCTAAACTGAGACCAAGCCCTAGACTGTGGCTGAGACTGAACAAGCTTAAACACATCAAAACCATTTCACAGAGACACATTTATACCTAAAGCTTCTCTTCAGAAGCTTTAAATTCAGATTGTTCCTGATTGCATGTATATCTGTATTCTGCTTTAGCTTGTTTGAGCTCCTCATTGAAGCTATAGATGTTTACAATGAGAGAAATTTTCAAACCGAAAACACTTTTTCATTGTTGCACCAATTCATTAAATAGAAGAATAGACTGAGGCTGTCTGTTTTATACTAATTTAAAATAAAGTTAGGCAAGTTTGAACAAAGTTATAACGCACAACAGGTCAATGCTCAGGGATGTGTAGACGGCAGAAATATCTCAATGTGCTGACATTACAAACTGACTAATGAACTTCTGCATTAAAGAAAACCTTTACAAAGATTAAAGACGATAAGAAAGAAAATATTATCATAGGTTTCCCATATGTCTCCTATTTACCATTTTGTAAATTATCTGTCACCTGCATAAGATACACTATGGGTATACTGTTCAACTATATATAACAGTGCTGAATGTGAATGCATGCAAGATAGCATCAAAAATCCCCTACAACTTGAGTTTCATAGTTCCTCTCAGATATGATTTCTTTCAAGTGCTGTGCTTTTCTGTTAAAAGAGGATGTTGCAAGCTCATTACTTCTCTGCTGGTCAGTGCAGTCAGGTATCTTTATACAGTTTATAGTACCTTTAGACTTTGGTTTGACACATGTCGACAAAGAAAACAGAGACTGTCCTTAAAACCCAAGCTTATTATGGAAAGAAAGAATGAACTCACAGTTCAGTGTCCCAGATAGACAACCTGAAAAATCTTTTGTTTCATTGTTTTTACCTCCATGTTAAAGTTAAAAGTAATGGGGAAAGCTATAATGGATATTACCTACCAAGAATGACATAAATGCAATGTACATCTGAATACTGTAGATATGCCATTGCAGGGAGATTTACACAATACAGAAAAATGGTAGGTTTCACCAAAATCTGGACCAGCTTAGGAGGTGAACTATATGACAGGTAAAACATCTCTTAGAGGTAGTAACAAAACAAAAAAACTTAACTAAAACAGTAATTAAATAAAGAAGCATTGTGGTATTTCTTCACCCCTTTCATCCACCCGCTCAGTCAGCTTCATAAAGCTGCTGGGCCTCAACTTTCAGGAGTTTAGCAAACTTTATAACTCGCTTTAGTGGTAAGCCTTTCCCAAAACTTTCACTCTGTGGTTGCAGTTACTTATTTTCAAAGGAACAGTAAGTTCAATAGCACTAAATAGCCAACCCCCCTGCGCACATGCACACAAAGTTTGTTAAACAAAACTTAAAATGCCAATTCTTTTTGCTCTTACCTTAGTAGCTAGTTAGCCAGCTAGCATCGTGCCTCATCTGCATCCATACAGTCTGAGCTCCATTGGCTCTCCCAGATTTCAGCTGGAAGTTTATTTCTTGTTACACTGACAAAGGAGCTGAAGAAGACAACACTTAACAGCTGAGTTACGTCTCTATGGCCTAAACGAGTGGACTGGAGGAAGAGCAAACATTAAAACTCGCGTTTTAAAGCGCAAACTAAACTTTTGCTGGAGAGGCTATCTTTTCAGCTCAATAAAGTAAAGCAATGCTGTGGTGCGTTAAGGTGCCGTCGATAACACGAACTTCCTAACAACAGTAAGAGTTTACCATGGTAACCGCGTTTCCGACACGCGATTTATAAACAGGTATACTTATTAAGTCGGGTTATGAAAGTCGACAACATCATGATTTAAGTGGTCAATACAAGTCAATTTGTCCATTTAATGAATTCATCTCGGTGTTGTTTTAGACTCATGTTTTACTTGTATTTCTCCACTCTGTTGTCTTGCTGTTGAGAATTTTGCCAATGTATTAACTGACTGATAGGGTAAAACAATAGCCACCATGTGAAACAATCCTTGCAGGGCTCATTGTGTTTTTATTGTCATTTAGAGGCACGTGAAAGACTTTCAAGTTACATTTGTCACCGTAGTCACAGAAGTTACGAGCTTAGTATGGGCTTGTGAATGCTGCAGAGATCATCCACTTCTCCAGAGCTGTGTGGGCGGTTTACGGGCAGAGATGATGCAGGTACGTCTGAAGTGCCTGTTTGCTGGTTTTCTGGTTATTTCACAATATTTGACGTCAAACACTTTCTCTAACGTGGCCAAGGGTTTTTTTATATATATTTGGAGAACAGCATGTTTTTAGTGGCCCAGATTTGCACTGTGTCCTTTTAGTTTCAGACACTAGAGGTCAGCACTGCGTTACATAGCCTCCAGTAATCCAGTAACCCCTCCCAACACATCAGGTCGCAAAACACCTTGTCTCTTAAATTGTGTCAGTAGTCAAAGAAAATGAAAGCATCAACAATACTAATCAAATCCACTTTAAGGTAAACATGCTAAATAAGAAAAACAACAGAAAATTATCTCACTTTGACAAAATAAATTAAAAAAAAAAAAAAAAATAAAAAAAAAAAAAAAACATGAATAAATTGTAGCTTACTTGCTAAGGGATCCAACATTGTAAACTTACCACCAAAAGCAAAACATACATTTTCTCAGAATTCAAAGGGCAATAATATCCTTTTAAAACCCCAATAATCATGAATAACTAAACCACACTTCTGTCCTAAAAATCAAATGTAAGTAGAAATAAAGCTATTATCTTGACAAAGTGAAGCGGGCACAAATCTGGGTCGCTTGTTATTTGTGCTACAGATCTACAGGTACATGATAACAACATATATTTTCAAAGCGTATGACAAGCTAATGACCCCTAGTCTGTCATCTATGCGTCACATCACTATAAAAAGAGATCTGATATAGAAACGTCACCAAACATGACTTTAAAAACCTATTGACACTCATTATAAGAGACAAATTACTCACATCTACGGTGCAAATACAAACACCCCAAGGCCACTCTCTCACATGGACATGTTTGCTATGGCAGTCAGTTTAGATGGTTTGGGAGAGCTGTGCATGTTGAACATGCATGAAACAGTTTAATTAAAATCACATAATGTTCTGAGAGACTGTTGGATATCTCTCAAGTTTAAACATTCTTCTACATTTCTGATTGACAGAGGATGAAGTCATTGTGTAATGGTAAACAAGGTCCATTTTCATATCAGTACTTCCCTTTTTACTATGGCTTGGACCTATTATCATAAAACCTAACCCTAACGCTAACATTAAATCCTATCTCTCTCAGTGTTTGTGTTTTTTCAAAAATTCTGAAAGTTCTGAAGTTCTTTGTCATCTTTGGCAGCTTTAGTTGTAGAGGGAACTGTGCGATGGTTCACCAACATGTGACATTTGTGTCCAGATGGGGAAGTTTCAGTAGAAACCAAAGTCATGACCATTTCTTGTCCCTATGTTTAATCCTGCACAAGAGAATTTGTTATAGTGAGACACTGAACCTTGACACTGTCATCAATGGTACCAGATGTCAGTTTTGTTCATAGGACAGTCACAAGTGAATCATCCAAACCTTCAACCTGAGCTTTATTTATTTATTTTTTTTATCATCAAGCCGACTTTGCACAGATCAAGTTTAGCTCATGTATACTTGGCTTGAGCTGTAGTTTTAAACAACAAGGAAACCACAGCCAATCATCTGATCTGAGAGTTGCAGCATTAGCATGATCTGTGTGAACAGACTGCATGTTGGTGGTTCAGCGGTGGCAAGTTAAGATATGCCACCAATGTGCAAAGTTACTGTATCTCTAAACGTTTTTATTTTTTAGAGCTGGGAAAAAGTGGGAAAAAAAGAGAGATCACTAATGGGACAATACATTGTGTGTGCATGTTTATACTGTTCATGGAATCTAGAGTTTGTGTAAGTGACATCTGTGCATAGAAAATCATAATAATATGACTATGAAAGGGAAAAGCTTTCACATCATTTTTACTTAGCTTCAACAACCTACCAGATTCAGAAATTGTACAAAAGAAAAAAAAGAAAAAGAAAGAACAAAGACAGAAAGAAAAAAATAAAGTCACAGTTACAGCATAGTAATAAATGCTACAACATGTAACAGCAGTACACGGATAGAAGATTCATTAAGTCGGCAAACCGGCTCAATAATCTTAGTCATGCAAAAATATCTATCTAAAGTTTTAATCATCATGAGCCAGACCAAAGATTATGCCGGTAGCAGCAAAACCTCTCAGGATGTTGAATTGGATATGTTTGCATTTTTATTGCTTATTAATTCTACTTTGTATTTGTAAAAGGACGATAAAAATCCTGGACGGACAAAATCTCTGAAGTCTGTATATCAGTGTATACCATCAATATATCTGCAGTTTATATATACATATATATATACATATATACATATATACATATATATATACATATATATATATATACACTTTTTGTTGTCATTTTGACATTGTTCATTTTTTCCCATTAAAGAGTTAGAATTAGTAATGCTCATTTTACAAGTTGAAAGTAAGTTCATGCATCAAGGAGCATGACTGTTTTAATTCTGAAAATTGGGGTTTTGTTATGAGAAGCTCACCGGCATAGAGAACTGCAGACAGGGCTGTGAGAACATCACAAGTCTGTAGTCTCACCATGAACAGTAACATATTGACTCACCCGTAGGTAAAATCTGATAAGACTACCAAGTACCAAGGTCTCACCTTTCATTTTCTGTGTCACAGACTGGCAGAATAACTGTCAACAAGTAATTAAATTCAAAGGAATTTATTCTTGACAAATGACATTTATTTCATAACTTTTTTATTTCAAATTCCGCTTTTACATTTAAATGAAATATAATAATCAGCAATTACTCTCCTGGTTAGAATGTGGATTCTGTATTTAATAAAATAAGCAAACTGAGTTGAGGGTAACCAATGACAAACATTGTAAGTAAAATTATTATGTATCTTATTTCTTCATGAAAAAAAAACATCCACAAAAGTGTTCATCACCATTATTTAAAGTGTACAGAAAGTATAAAAAAAATAGATATTTAAAATAATTATGCCAGTCACTTTAGATTGACAGTATTTTAATAAGCATGATCAATAAAATACTTTATAAATACTGTATGAATTGACTCTATACACATCATGCATTTTCAGCATTTGAAACCTCAATTTATTTTTTTCAGTTTCATTTTTAATCTGCTTGACCTTTAACATTACTCTGTCAGATTAACACTGGAGAAAATATTTGTCACAGGACACTCAAACCACAACAGTTAGTGTCGAATGCACACACTGTAAGAATTACGCCTCTCAGAGTGGCATATACAGTATAAATCAGTAAGCTGTGTGAAAGCGAAAAATGAATCTGTGTATATTCACATTAATGCATTTCATCTGTGTGAAACATTTTCCATTATTCGGTGAACAGCTGTTGACGGCAGTAATTCAGTAAACCTTAGACTAGCCAGTGCCTGGTATGCCCGGTGTGTGTTTCCGTGCATGTGTGTGTGTGTGTGTGTGAAGCTTGTGAACATAAGTCCATTAATATGTTCAACTGTCCAATAAACAAAAAGAGAAGTGAACTTATTCATTAATTAATGTGAAATATTAAATAGATAAAATAGAACAGATTCCTTTAAAAATGAGTGAAATGTTAGGGAAATCCACACAGTTTCATTTTTCAACTTTTCTTTGACCCTGACCAGGGCTGTTTTCTGAAACATTGATCTTTACAAGTTTAAATAAATGCATTTGAGTTGAGACTGTGTGGCTCTCTGTTCTCTTTTTTTTTTTTTTGATGTTGTTGTGTGTGGTTTTTTTTTGTCCTGCGAGCCAGTACCTTGCAGCAAAAAAGGAAGTGTGCCTTTCACCAAAATCTTTTAATAATTAAAAAATAAACATCAAAATGAAAAGCTCTGAAAAATAACATTTTAAACAGTTTTGTGGGAAAACAATGGTGGCAGTGCTCCTAAAATGACTTTTTCAGGAGAGGGGAAATTCCTGACCCCTTGTACCTACACCTTGGCACCTTAATTTGGTTTTCTCACTTCATCAAAAGACAAACCACCACATTCATATCAGACGTACAACTGAAAAACAAGTGGGCACAACTGAACATCTGAACTTTCAACCTGCCTTGCTGGTAACACTCGCATAAATACTGTTGATTTCTGAGAAGTTATATGTAACAGTTACATTTAACCTTAGTGACTTAACAAGCTCCTAAAAAAAGAGGGCAGGGAAAAAGTTTGTGCACATACAAATGTTTTACATGCCATCTTCATCTCAGGAGACATCACAGATGTCAGATCTGAAGTGTCAGTTGTTTACATATTTGTTTAGTTTCAAGTGGCAAGTTGTGGCCTGAGAGTCTTTGCTGAATGTTTCCAGTGGGTCTCTTTTCATGTTTGAGGCACTTGCTGATTACACGTGAGTGTTTCTACCACCTTGCACTCTAAAGACGGTTGTTTCCTGTTGCAGACGCCTGTGTTGGTTGGTCGTAGGTTGGCAGTTTATTTGTCTCATACTTACATGTGCCTCATTCTCATGTTCATTTAGTGTTCTTGTTTTGTTTTGCAAAGCTCA